TATATATATATATATATATATATATATATATATATATATATATATATATATATATACTGAATATACTATGTACAAAAAATGAATGTTCAATGAATTATTTATGGTGCATTAGGGTACTGGTCACTTCTGATGGGCTATAAATAGCCTTCTTTATCTCCCCTACATCTCACCCTGAGCCAGACGGAAGGGTCTTGGTAAATAACATGTTTGCTTATTTTCCATTTACTTTAAATAGATTTACCGAATTATTTGTTTTATTTATTTATTTATAATATACTGTAATATATTAAACACACTGTAATTATTTTCTTTAATTTATAAACTGTTTTGCGACAAAGGAATGTTCTCCAGTAGTGTTTCATTAGGATTTGAGTGAAAAAATATTACGTACTTACACAATTGTTCCTCTTACTTTGACAACACAACATACATACAGTATATTATTTCTCAGTTTTGATCTTTTTTTTTAATTTTTGTATTTATTTATAGTTAGTTACTTAAAATAAGGCCAATTCACTTCAAGTAATGGCATCAAATATTACCAGCTGGTGTAGTGTAAACACTAGTGACGTCACTTGAGCGTCTGTAATTAACCGTCGATAGTTTCAAGAATTAATGCACTCATTTACTGAATATTCTTTGGAAAAAAATAAAATTTAAATCAATTATTTATAGGAGATAAATATTATTATGAGTAAATATACCGATACCGGTATGCATTACTGACCACCTCCACGGCTCCTCACTGGCAAATGGGGGGGGGGGCGTGGGGAGGGGTGTGTGATGATAGCTGTGTTTATTATAGGGGTATAAATCTCTTTTACGGTATGTTAGACAGGTTTATAATACATTTTTATTATTTTAATATACCGGTAATCTTAATTTGAATCCAGCTTGCCAAACGTAAGTTTCAGTATAAAATAATTAGTGGTAAGACCTTGTGAGTGGCTTACGATGTTTTCATCACCACTCTTGACACACTAAACCACAATATTTAAGAGGTAAGAATTTTAAACTTGGTGGTTTAGACGACCCCCTAACTTTGGGCAGATTTTTTAATGTTCAAATTTCGTCATAGGCACAGTGATATATATATATATATATATATATATATATATATATATATATATATATATATATATATATATATATATATATATATATATATATATATATATATATATATATATATATATATATATATATATATATATATATATATATATATATATATATATATATATATATATATATATATATATATATATATATATATATATATGTATGTATATGTATATATGTATATGTATATATATATATATATATATATATATATATATATATATATATATATATATATATATACTATTTTCTATAAAAGTGCCATTGAATTTCTGTATAAGTAGTGTATTTCATGGGGCAAAGGGAGGCTCAGAAACGTAACTCCCGTATTTTATCCATTTCTTATGGGGAAAATTGATTCCGCTAACGTTGCAGCTTTCTGGAACGGAACCATGATGTTAAGCGAGGACTTAGTGTATTTACCTATTTACCAATTACACTTTCCACATTAGATGATCTCCCACCAATCACATTTCAGGACACAATCATTCTGCCAAGTTCTAAAATAGATATGCTGGGCCTCACCATTACCTGTAATACTATGTCATGGAAGCCACACATCCTCAATCCTCAACATTGCTAAAGCTGCCTCCCGAAAGCTGGGAATGCTTTACAGATGCCATAGCTACTACACTCCTGAGCAGTTGCTTCAAGTTTATAAGGGATTCATTCATCCTAACTTGGAGTACTGCTCTCATATCTGGGGTGGTTCTTCTTCTGTCCAACTGTTAGATAGGGTGGAATCAAAGGCAACCTGTCTTATCAACTCTCCTCCTTTAGCTGATAATCTTTCTTCCCCTTCTCTTTGCCGCAATGTTTTTTCAATCTCTCTCTTTTACAGGTACTTTAACAGGCAATGTTCGGTGGATTTGGCATCCTGTGTACTGCCGGCAAGGCAGTGGGCTTGTAACACTTGTCTTGCCCGCGGTGCCCACTGTTTCTGTGTGGATGTCGGTCACATTAGAATAACCCGTTATAGTACCTCCTTCTTTCCTCACACAGCCAAACTGTGGAATGCTCTCCCTTCAACTGTGTTTCCATACTCATACAATCTGTCTCACTTAATATATTTTTTTTCTCTTCTATTTTTAATTTCTTTTTACTTTTATTTTTTTGTCCCCCAGGACCTGTTGTGGATTGATGACCTGTGCCCAGGTGAGCTGTTCCCAGTAGAAAAAAAATATATACCGCCAACGATACCGAATGATAATCATGGAGTTATGCTATGACAGACAGATGTGATCAACAAAGAACCAAGTGCAGCGAGAGAGGTGTTCCCTATTCGTGGTGCATATGGTTAAAAATTGTTTCCTTATAAAATATAATTGACTAGACGTAGCAAAATATAATTTGCATTACTGGAATCCTTGCAAGACAGTGATGATTTTGAGACTATACAACCCATAGTTTACACGAGATAAAAAAAAATTCCAATCAATATCGCTGAATGGGACATCATTTATTGAGGTTTACCCGTATGTTTCATGCAATATGCAGTGTAGTTGAAGCCTGAATATATTTTTATGTACAGTGGGGTATGCTATAACGAATCTAATTGGTTCTAGAACCTTGTTCGTTATAGCATTCGTTCGTTATAGGATTAATCCGTTCCAGGCCCCCAAATACAACCACTTAACACTGAAAAATATAATATAAAATTGTAAAAATTGTAAAAACGTGCATAAATATGCATCTAAACCCCTGAAATAAAGAATATCATTAATATTTGTAATAAAAAAACAATAAATTAGAAAAAAAAAAAAATTTTTTAAATAATGTTCGTTGTAGGAGTTTCATTCGTTATAGCATTCTCAATTTTATAGGTAAAACAGTTCGTTATAGGAATATTCGTAGTAGGATCCGTTCGTTATAGCATACCCCACTGTAATAGTATTATAATTTCCTTATAAAATAAATTTCAAACTGCTTAACAGAGTAATTTTGGCAATTTTCCAGTGTATGATACAGGTACTGTGAAAGGCAGGGGTATATGATTAGGCACACAGTATACTCTCGAGTTAATGGAATCCGATATAATGAACTCTTGATTTAGTGGATCTAATTTCTTCTGTTATTTTTCACTCGAATTAGTGAACTAATTCGCTAAATCGAGATTAATTCCGTTAATATGCTCACACCTACAGAGACACCTCAGATATATGATATGTACATAGAAACTCTAGAAATATTATTCATGGCTTACCTTAAACTAGGGGTTTCAGTGATTTTTAAATTTTTTTTTCTATTAGGGTATTTCCAAACGTTTTTCCAATTGATAATTACACCCTTTTGACTTTCACACCCACACCACTTCCTTTCTGAGACTTCTGAGAGACTTTCAGCATGATGTCTAAGCACAGTAGTTAGTTGATTGATAGGTAGCAGTGAACAACACACGCGATCGCGGCAGGACACAGACTGAGCAGATGTAAACAAACCCCACACACCAAGCGGAGCATTTGGTGCGGAATTTAATGGAATCACGCTCGTTCTAGTTCGCTAATTCGAGCAAAATTAACGGAAAGTTCGATTTAGCAGAAATTTTGATTTGACGGAAAGGGTGGTTCGAATTAGTTTGTTAAATCGAGAAAATACTGTATTTTGTACCAAATTTAATGTGCAGTGGATTAGAAAATCCAAGACTGAAAATACATGGACTGGATGTGATTTGTTTCACAGTATGCATACAAATAGACTGACAAGATACAATATATCATAATAAATCGAAGTGTTGTTTCAATGGAATAATTTAGTTTGGTACTTGATAAGAAACAAAATACTAAAAAGACTGAGAGCCTACTGTGCCCAGATGCACCTCAGCCCATCTCCTAGAATAAACAAAACATTGTATTTTGTGGAATTATGTTAAAACAAACACAAATAAATAAACACAGCTAAAATTAAGGGACGTGAAATGGTCTGTTTACTGGCGATCAGCTGATGTGAAGATTGAAAGGGGGGGAGGGGGGGGCGAGGTGATATGTTTGACAGTTGATGCCAAGGTCCAGTGCTCATTTATTTATCTGTCCTTAAGAGTGACTAAGTTTTTCTCTTATAAAATGTCACTGAACTGACCTGTTCTAATTAATTTTATTACAAAGGGCTAAAAATTTTATTTTTTGTGCAAAATATATGACGTTTATATTCAAATTATTTGCTGTCTTGCAAGGATTCTAGCAATGTAAATTATATTCTTCTAACTTTAGTCTGTGATATTATATAAGATAAAAACTGTAAGCCTATAACCACCCAACCCTGGATGGGGGAGGAGTGACAATTGTTATGTTTGACAGTTGGCGCCAAAGGTCTAGTGAAGTATTTATTTTTTTATTGATGTCCTTTAGATTTATTATTTTTTTGTTTTTAAAATTTCACAGAAGTGACCAGTGAGAATATAATTTACATTGCTGGAATTCTTCTAAGATAGTGATTAATTTGAATATAAAATTTGCTATAGTAGTTTGCATTAGACAAAAAAAATTTAGTAAACATTTAGTACATTATTTTGAGTACATGTACAGTACAGCTTTGCCCTCAGGACAGTGTAGCGTGCCCAGAGAAACATTAGGTGCAAATTTTAAATATGATGCGCCAAATTGACTCGCGCAAAATAGGAAAGATTCGCTTTAAATTAAAACATTGTCCTTAATTGTGGGTGTCGCTTTAAATCAACAATCCTAAATTGAATCGCCTTTTATCGACGTTCTACCGTACTGCATATTTCATAAACAGAATGAGTAGTTACACTACGCAATATCTCGAAACTATTAAAAGCAGAATAAAATTTTTAACAACTTCAGAAAAAGATGAACAAATATTGAATAATATAAAGCACAAACCTTGATCCAAAAAGGTAAATAAATAATTTTGCTACATACCTGCACATCTTGAACTCCTGGATCCCTCTTAGTGGTCTCCAGGCGACCCATCAGATAAGAAAGAACCATTTCTATATTCTGTGTCACATCTTGAAAGTTTGGGTGCGTTGAAAAGGGTTGGAAGAGATGTCGTTTGTAGAGCAATGTATAAACCAGGTTATGGTTGTGAGCCAACTGGTGGGTCAAGACGGAATTCAAAATTTCCAAGACCATCCGGAGGACTTCCTCCAAAACACTAACATCACTTAGCTGTGAAAGAAAGTGTGTTAATTATGCAGACCACTATACCCTGAAGAAGTTATCAACCTTTCACACTATGATTTCAAGGCAGAGAGTATAGGACTGGGTAATAAGAATGTGCTGAGTGTGATTAAGAGTGAGTGGAATGGTAAAGGAACTTATGTAGATGACCAAAAACTACTTGTGTTATTAACATTCACTACCCAGAACTCCCTTCACTGTCGATATCAATCAGGGATACAGTGGAGTCATGATAAATCGCAAAATACAAAGTCAAATTCTTAAATTCGGGGGTACCTCTATTACTACCTCTTTTTTTTTAATTCAGCGGTCAAATATTCATAATTTGCTGCTGAGCACCGGCCCCCAGTGATTATTTACATGACAATAAAAGTTGTGGAAATCTCCTTTTCCTTGTTCTAATTTGACTTAGATATAAAGAAAATAAAAATATCACTTCAATGCTCTAATGTGACTAAGAAATACTGTTCACAATCTGCTGAGATCGAGTCAGGGACTGATACTCTTTGTAATGGTAATCGTCATCTCTGGTCACTGCGTCATGGTGAGGCTGCAGCGTTTGAATTTCGGGGTCGACACACTTGGTGAGCAAGTTCCTACTTGTTCCTAGAGAGCTCAACTGCAAACTTTCCATTTGATATTTATTTTCCATTACAGTACTGTACTGTACCAAATTCATGGAAATTTAGTAATGAAAAGTCTGTTTGGCAATGAAAAATACAGTTTGGTAATGATATTATAATGATTGTCTATCAGACCAAAGGGTCCAGCCCAAACAAACAACAACACATATAACTGTGACTAGTGGAGCACTTAATTCGACCCACCCTTCAGTAATTAAATGAGATTAAGACCTGACCCAAAAAGGATCATCAAGTTTTGTCACCATGTGATGAAAAAACAGGCGACATGACCCTGTTAATCCAAGAAACTGCCCTCCAGCCAGTACACCAGCACCTGACCAGACACACCCAGGTTAGTAATAATTAGGAAGCATTACCGACTGGCTTACCATGATAAGCACACCACACCGTGACCCCAAAGCACCACGCACCTGACCAAACACACCTGTCCAGACACACCCACCCAGATTAGTAATAATTAGGAGACAACACCTGCCGGCCGGAGACCTCCAGAGCCAAACGGAGTCACACTCAGTCACAAGTCCCGAGGTCGGGGGGAGTACCTCCTTCCTGAGCCTCTCCAGGCCCTGCAGTCAGAGTTCATAGCCACTGGGCTTCCCTCAGGTCACACGTGAGTCATTGTCAGAGCGATCCATAAGGTGAGTTAGTTATGGTGGGAAGTGTATCCATGTCACGTTTGTGTTCGGGAGTCATTGCCAAGTAACGTCAATATAATGATCTATTAATGTGTCCATGCCATTCAGTTAACTAATACGGTGCTCCTCTACTTACGCACGAGTTACATTCCTGAGGCTTGTTTGTAAGTCCAACTTTACTCTTGTAGATACCAAACATATTGTAAAAAATGAAAAGATTATGGATATTTAGAACAGCTATACCCTTTAATACAGCCTTTAAACCTGGCTCACTCTTCTCCTCTTAGGTAATGTTTGTTCTATCTGGAATTTTCTTCAAAATAATCCAGTCTCATCCACATTAAACACCTGTTCTGGCAGGTAACCTCCCTCAGTGATGATGTTTGTATCTCTGAAAGTTTGTAAGTTCTTAAGTCAAGGAGCACCTTTTAATAGCTGTACTTAGATGTGTTTAGAAGATTCTCCCTAAGAACATATTAACGGTTAAATAACTATTTTGCCACACTACCAACTTTCATCACTATGCAATCCCTCCTACTATAACTCTCACTATATCTTCATAATGGTGCCAATGGTATCCATTACAATGGCATCAGGGGACCAATTGCAATGGTGCCAAAAGTGCTGTTATAAAGGGATCACGGGTGCATGAGCATGGGAGGTAACTCTCCCTCCTTCTCTGCCACCTGCCACCTCCTCTCCCAGGCTACACACCCAAATGTAGTTTTTGTACAGTGTCTTATTATAATTCATATTATACAGTATTCCTATAATTCATTCATATTAATCTATTTCATAATAATACCAGTACTCTCACAACTTACACGTATTTTTCTTACGAGGTTTCAACTATACGTGGATTAAAAGTAGGTTACAATTTCCAATTTCAAGCTCAAAACTTTCAAAATGGGTCGCAAGCCCACCAAATGCACCACCCCACCATCCCACCTCTGCCTCTCGTGTGTGTCAATTTGGTGCAATTAAACCTCTCTCATACTCGTTCATAATGCCCAAATACAAGCCAACCTCTGCCTCTGGTCTTCCAGCGAAGAAACAACGCTCTGTGATGATCCTGGAAGAAAAAGTGGCCGCGTTAGACTTAATAAACAGCGGCATGTCGATCGCTGCTGTGGCATGGAGGTACGGGTGGAATGAATCAAGCGTGAGAGATCCATCAAGTTTTGGGAGAGGGAAATTCGTGAAACCGTATCTACAAGTGCCTCATTTACTACTAAGGTGACTAGCCAGGTTAGAGATGTAACTCTAATGAAGGTGGGGAAGGCATTAAACATATGGGTGGAGGATATGAATCAGAAACGTGTCCCCATCGACTGCAACATGCTCAGGGAGAAGGCACTGAGTCTTTATAACCAGTTTAAATCTGAGGTTCCTGAGGGCAAAGCATCCACCAGCTCTTAGAAGAATTTTAATGGCAGTGCAGGTTAGCTCAACAGTTTCAGGAAGCGTTTCAACCTGAAAAATATTAGACTCACTGGCGAATCGGCATCGGCAGACTAGGCAGCTGCACGGGTGTTCCCAGAAAAATTCAGGAAATTGATTGAGGAAAATGGATATCTTCCAGAGCAGGTCTTCAACACTGACAAAACAGGTTTGTTTGGGAAGAAAATGCCAACCAGAACCTATATTTCTAAGTCTGAGAAGCCGGACCCCAGGTTCAAGGCTGCGGAGGATCGCGTTACCATCCTGCAACGCAGCAGGGCATATGATAAAGCCATGCTTGATTTATAGGTCTGCCTACCCTCATGTTTTGAAGGGAAAAACAAGAATCTCCTCCCCGCCTACTGGCAGTCAAACAAGAAAGCCTGGGTGACAGCAATGCTTTTCCTTGAGTGGTTCCACAAATGTTTTATCCCCAAGGTAAAGAGCTACCTAGAGAAGCTGGGCCTGCCTTTCAAGGTGTTGCTGGTCGTTGACAACGCACCAGGCCACCCGGATGCAATAAAATTTGCACACGATGACGTCGAGGTAGTATTCCTTCCGCCCAACACCACCTCCATCCTCTCTACCAGGGCGTGATTCGGCGTCTTATGGCAGCGTACACATACCTCACCTTCGTCCGCATTTGCAATGCCATGGAGGAAAGCACTAACAACAATGTTATGGCATGCTGGAAGGATTTCAACATTGCCAATTGCATCAGTTTTGTGAAGGAGGCCATGGATGCACTGAAACCAGAGGCAGTTAATTCGTGTTGGCGAGCACTGTGGAGTGACTGTAAGAGTGACTTCAAAGGATTCCCTACGATCGATTCTGAAGTAAAGCACATCATGAAGGTGGCCAGGGCTGTAGGCGGTGATGGGTTTGAAGACATGGTCGAGCAGGAAATCGAGGAGTTAATTGAAGGGCACAGGGAAACTCTGACTGATGGTGAGTTGGAGGAAATAGTGAGAGCGGACGAAGAAGGCGGCAACGGTGGTGTCGACGATGATGAAGTACAAGAAGAGCCAGCATGTTGGGGTATACACAAGTTTAGTGAAGTGTTTCAGGTGGCCGAGCACTTGAAAAACTGAGTGTCTGAGTATGACCCCTCTATAGAGCGCAGCATCAACTTCTCACGAGGTCTTACAAGCATTATGGTTCAGTATAAGAATATGTTCCAGCAGCTTAAGAAACAACAATGACAGCTTCCCAACACCATGTTCTTTAAGAAAACTTCAGCATCAAAATCGTCAGCAGATCAGCCAACGCCCTCAACTTCTTGCACTGACCTTGAGCTGTCCACATCCTCCCCTGCATCGTTTTCTGAGCTTGATGATCCCCCCCACGGTGATGTGGGAAGGGGATGAATAATCTCAAAACAACAACACAGGTCTGTCTACATACAGGTAATGTCTGTGTTCTATTAATGCTGTTATGCACTTGTTACAGATGTTGATATTACATTACAGTAGTAATTTATGAGTTCTAGTGTATATGTATGTATATATAGTGATTTAAGGACGATTTAGGGGATTTTTAGGAGTGTTTCTGGCTTTACGCATTTTTTGGCTTCGCGCTGGGTCCCAAGAACGTAACCCCTGCGTAAGTTGCGAGTCTACTGTAATCGACTTTTTGGAACCGGGAAACCAGTGATGTTTGGTAGAGTCACACTGGAAAACACCCCTCTCATGTGTGTGCAGGCCGAGGCTCAAGCCCTTAACATATTGGTGAGAGTTATGCACATTACCACTGTACCACCAACACCCCTAATCAAAACATGTTGAACCAATGTGAAAAAGTATAATAATTTAACCCAATAAATGTGTAAGTTTTTAGAAATAAAAGTTGCTATATGTACTTATGCAACTCTGATACATCTGTTGGTTCATAAAAAGATTTAAGATTTGTACATGGGTCATCCCTTTTAAAATTTAAAAGAATTAATACTGTATAACTTAGACATAAACTTGATCTTTACTAAACTAATGTAAGAAAACTTACAGCATCTGGCATGTCATTTTCAGACTCCTCAAGAAGATCTTCAGCCATCTTGATGGACTCACACAGACGAGCATGTCTTTTACTGAGCGTCTCAAAAAGGCTAACAAGCCGCTGGCATACATAAGGGTGAAGCGACCGGAACTGACTTGACATATTGGCCAGGGCAGCTAAGCAGTTGGTGTGCAGGTATTTGTCCTGTTGGATAAACAGTAATAAATATTATATCAATACTGACAATACAAACTACACCAAAATATTCAATGATGGATGTATGTGAATAGAAATGGCACTCCCGGGTTATAAATGATTCGGGTTACAGATTTCCGACTTTACGGATGCTCTCTCATAAGTCCTATTTTAAATGAGTGAAATGCACGGTAATTCCAGGCCCGAGTGAAGTTATTGCCAATCATACCCCACCTGTGAGCTGTATGTTATGATTATATTTTAACTAATAATTTTTGGTAGATATTGTATATGTAATTTTCTCCACTTTCTTCTTTAGGTACAGTGACGTTCAAGATTCTTCGAACACTGCTGGAGACAACTGGCAACTCAAGGTCGTTTGTTAACTATACTGCGTAGTAAAAATTATGAATGAATGTAAAAGTGATCGGTGATTGGTTACTTAGTTCCCCGTTGCTTAATTAATGGTTGGGCTTCGTTGTTTCGCATTATACAGTGACCCCTCGTTTAACGAACGCCTCAGTTAACGAAATTTCGGTTAACGAACTGCCTTCCATGAGGATCTTCAATTCGGTTAACGAACAAAAATTCGGTTAACGAATTTCTTACGAACCGACCTCAACATGTTTTCGCTTGCACTGACCAGGCAACCAGCTTTAGTATCAGTCCGCCAATACATTAATCGGTTCTAGGGCTTAAATTCCTTACTATTTTAGTAAATATCAAAAAGTTTATACTATTCAAAAATTTTAAAAGTTTAATATTTACTTTTTTAGTCATTTTAACAATTGTTGAACATAATTGAAGGTAAAGAAACTAGTTGCTGGCGTGCCATCCAGCCTGTTAACACACCAGACAAGCATTAGTCTCTCTCTGTTTTCAGTGGAGGTAACATCTTGCTTGAGACTCTCTTCAACTAAACGCAAATTATTGGTCATTTTGAAATATATTTTACATAGTGACAATATATAATGCAGTGCAGTGTTGATTTAAAGAAAATAATCTTGAAATACACCAAGAGAACTAAAATTTTATGGATGAAATGGTGCCATGGGGTGACTTCTCTTCCACCCCAATGCCTTTTCCTCTTCCTTCTCCTCCACCCCCATTCTAATTCCCATCATCATCATCATCATCCAGGAGCCTTCTACATACACCCCTCAAAGTAAGTGAACTTTTCTACCATTTTTGTTGAATTTAGGAAATTTTCGGTGAGCTGGAACCAATTACCCAAAAACCCATTGCAACAATGGTTTCGGTTAACGAACTTTTCGGTTAACGAACGACCTTCTGGAACGGATTGAGTTCGTTAACCGAGGGGTCACTGTATTGTGCCTTTCTGCTAGTATATACTGTTAATTTGATTTTAAAATGGATAGAGCAATGAGCCAACCTATATGAATTTATATTTAGATAAATAAACATAAGTAAAAATCGGTAAGTACTGTATGTTAAAGAACATCATGCATCGGGCACAGCTGTGTGCAGGCTGCTTACCGATGCTAAACAAAACTTCTTTCTAAAGACGCTGATTTCTTGCAACGCAAACTGCTGTTTTACTTCCCTGTGTGTGTGTGTGCGCATGTGGAGTGTGTGTGTGTGTGTGTGTGTGTGTGTGTCTGTATTTAATAATGACGTTGTTCAATTGAAGGTGATGGTAATTAATCTTACGAACCACCCGTCTGATGGTGTGAATTAGTACTGTAGCATATGCCTAATACTTTTACAAGCCATTATCTAGCAATATCATTGTCATTCCAAGACTATGAATATTGTAAACAGCAAATGGCATTTCTTTCGTTGAGTGACTCTTCGCGCCCCCCCCCCCTAAATCGTTGTTTCTGACTCGTGTCGATTACGTCACGTTTAGTCTGGTGTCTTTAAAAAAAATATTAAATTTTTTCCAAAAATGTGTATGATGTATTATAAATTTGTATCTTATTTATTTATCTATTTATTCATTTATTTTTTATGAATGCCTATTAAATATAAATATAATGCTGACGTTATTGACGGGAAGGTGGGAGAGATAGAGGTGTTGTCAGTGCTGACTACCCTTCCACTCCCTCAATTGTAGAAGGACCTTGCCAACATGGAATACCACACGCAGAAAATCACTGAACGTGGAAGAATAATCGGCATGAAAGAGGTTGGGTTTTCACCCACTGAAATTGCACGAGAATTGGGTTTTTCTCGGTCAACTGTATATTATTGGATAAAGCGATGGGAAGAGGAAGGAAGTTTAAAGGACCACCACAGGACGGGAATGGCGCGCAGAACAACACTTGCACAAGTTGAAGCCATCCGGAATTTCGCTGAGGCCAACCCTTTCAAGACAGCATATTTATGAGGAAGCAGAGAGTGGCCATGTGACTTGCAATGTTTGGGGATGGATATATTTGCACAGAGTTGGAGAGCTGACTGACATAGAAGGAAGATTCACAGCTGAACAGTATTTAGAAATACTCGAAGAAGTTATGCTTCCCTCGGTGCGTGCATATGCTTTCCCGTTTCCCGAAACCATCATTTTCATGCACGATAGGTGTCCACTCGCTGCTTCCTCATAAATATGCTGTCTAGCATATCGGGTGTTGTTCCTCCTCCAGCAATGCAACCTTCCGTGAGAGGTAGATGAGAAAGTTTTTTCGTCAGTGATTATTACTCTTCCCCAGAAATCTAAGCCTTCTTCAGCATACCGTCATTTAACTTCTCCTTGGTGGCGGGAGTTCTATGGTGAATGCCTCCTTCGTGAAGTCTTCGTCTGATTGTTAAAGGGGAAATATTTAATTGTAGATCCTCTCTTATTGAAAATGAAGTCTTGAAGGGGTTGGCCTCAGCGAAATTCCGGATGGCTTCAACTTGTGCAAGTGTTGTTCTGTGCGACATTCCCGTCCTGTGGTGGTCCTTTAAACACACACTCCACATGCGCACACACATGCACTCCACATGCGCACACACAGGGAAGTAAAACAGCAGTTTGTGTTGCAAGAAATCAGCGTCTTTAGAAAGAAGTTTTGTTTAGCATCGGTAAGCAGCCTGCACACAGCTGTGCCCGATGCATGATGTTCTTTAACATACTTACCGATTTTTACTTATGTTTATTTATCTAAATATAAATTCATATAGGTTGGCTCATTGCTCTATCCATTTTAAAATCAAATTAACAGTATATACTAGCAGAAAGGCATAATATACAGTCGGCCCTTAACATACGCGGGTTTATAATACACGGATTTGCAAATACGCGGATTACCCCGCTGGAGGAATATTCTGTACATTGAAGTACATTCAAATCGCGCGCCATTCAACCCGCGCGCGGCACCTCACACAGGACACCGCCCGCTCCCGCAACCTCACACACACACACGCATAGCTCTCACTCACTCAGTCAGTCACGCTGTAACCACGCTTGTGTTGACATCAGCATTGTAGTTGCAAAAATATTACATTTCCGTGAATGTATTATATCAAACAGTATGAATAGAATCTCACTAATATAAGAGTATTTTAACCGAAAACTACTAAAAAAAACGAGTAACATATCTTGAACATCGGAAGGTTAGGTAAAGTCTTTTGTTTTCATGTAGTTTATCCTAATTTACATTGAAATGCACTACGTTTCAGCAAAACTACTATTTATTTCTGAGAATATGGAAATGTAATATTTTGCTGAAATGACGTACGTATTACAGTGGAAAGTGACGAAAGCAATGACTCGCTTTCTTTCGTTCAAAAGATGTTACCGTAATCGCTTTTCGAATGGTTTTCAGTTAAAAAACTGTTGTATTACAATAATATTCTATCCTAATTCACTTGTGATGCAACAGTTTTTTTAACTGAAAACCATTCGAAAAGCGATTACGGTAACATCTTTTGAACGAAAGAAAGCGAAAGTCATTGTTTTTCACGTCACTTTCCACTGTAATACGTACGTCATTTCAGCAAAAATATTACATTTCCGTGAATGTAGTATATCAAGCACAGTATGAATATAATATCATTGTAATACAACAGTATTATAACCGAAAACTATTAAAAAAACGAGTAACATCTCTTGAACATTGGAAGGTTAGGTAAAGTCTTTTGTTTTCGTCATGTATTTTATCCTATTTTACATTGAAATACATCACGTTTCAGCAAAACTACTATTCATTTCTGAGAATATATTCATTCAGGCACAGTTTAGGTAAAATATACATGTGCTGTAACATTTTTTTAATTGAAAACGATTCGAAAAACACGTACCCTCTAGCCCTGTTCAAGGAGAAGACCGGGAGGAGCTGTTTGGTGCTTAAGACGATGACAAGGAAAATGATTTTGATGGATTTTAATGAAAATATTCCGAAAGACCCTGGCACTCTCAAGGAAAGTGGCTGCTGAAGGCTTCCAGGACATGGCAGAGGACAAGATTAGGGAGCTAATTGAAGAGCACGACACTGAGCTGACCGAGGAGGATCTACAGGAGTTGGTAGACTCAGGCAAGGAAGAGGAAGCGAAAGGGAAAGGGAAAGAGGATGAGGATGAGGAAGAGGAAGAGCACCAAGAAATAACGTTGGAGAAGTTGGGGGAGATAACCAGGAATATTGAGGCACTGAAAAACCTGGCCTATAGTATGGACCCCTCCATGGTGCGTGTCCTGAAATTCATGCGAGGGATGGATGACGTTTTCGCTCCATACAAAAACATCATGGAAGAAATGAATGAAAGAGACGACAACTCCCCATCACCATGTTCTTTGATCACCGAAGGAGAGATTTAACACCATCAATCACTGGCGGCAGTGAGGAAGCAGCTGAATCCACCGTCGCCCCCACTTCACCACCCATTATGGAATTGAGTGACGATGAGCCCGAGGACCCCCGTCCTGTCGCCGAGGATAGGAACTGTACAGTAAAGTGAAATTTTTATCTCTCTTTTTTTTAATAGCTTTTCTTGCCATGTTTATTGTTTGTAAAAATGCACAGCACAGTACAGTTCAGTACTGTACATAGGAAGTGGAGGTGCAGTTATTCACAAAACATTTGTGTTTGTTGTCAGCAGTAGTGACGGTGAGGAGGTGGAGGAGGCGGAGGGAGCGAGTTGGGAGGAGTGGTGACCTTGGACGCGGGAGCAGGGACGAGATGCCAGCCAGTACATTACTGGTGTATTAATTGTTTTTATAGCTATTTTTGCATTTTAATATTAAATACTGTACATTACGTTTCAACAAAACTACCATTTATTTCTGAGAACATGGAAATGTAATATTTTGCTGAAATGATGTACATATTACAGTGGAAAGTGGGATAAAATTGTGACAAAAGCAAATGACTTTCTCTTTCTTTCCTTCAAAAGATGTTACCGTAATCGCTTTTCGAATGGTTTGCAGTTGTGGGATTATAAGGCTAATGATAGGATAGAATATTATTGTAATATAGTACGAGTACAACAGTTTTTTAACTGAAAACCATTCGAAAAGCGATTACGGTAAAATCTTTTGAATAACGAAAGAAAGCAAAAGTCATTGTTTTCGTCATGATTTTATCCCACTTTCCACTGTAATATGTTCGTCATTCCAGCAAAAATATTACATTTCTATATTTATTTCTGAGAATACGTATATTCATTCAGTCACAGTTAAGGTAAAATATGCTTGTGATGAAATATTTTAATGAAAATACGGTATCGTAGTTTTCTTTTGTTTCAAATTTAATTAACAAAGATTGATGTTTCAAATGTAATGAACAAAAATTTATGTATTTATGAATACTTTATGTTTTACATCGTCCTGTGCTACCATACCATGGATTTGGCTACTTTGGGCTTGCTATGATGACGCAAGAGATCTGCCCTGGCAACTGTACCGACACTCACAGCTGGTGGTGCGTTGGTGCATCGTTTCCATTGTTTACTGGTAGTTACTGGTAAATATTTTTCAACCTAACGAAACTATTACCCTTTTAGAGGTCGACCCCCAATTTTTTGCCAAATAATTTGGTCTTAAAAACTCGAACTACACACAGGTATATACGGTAAATAAGGACATGGGGGCCAGGTTTTTTTTTTTTGGCAGCACATATACGCGGATTTTTAACATCCACGGCTTTCTCTGTTACGTAACCCCCGCGTATGTTAAGGGCCGACTGTAATGCGAAACAACGAAGCCCAACCATTAATTAAGCAACGGGGAACTAAGTAACCAATCACCGATCACTTTTACATTCATTCATAATTTTTACTACGTAGTAAAGTAAACAAACGGCCTTGAGTTGCCAGCTGTCTCCAGTAGTGTTCGAAGAATCTTGAACGTGACTGTACATACACACTTAATCTTATAAAAAAAAAATAAAAAATAAAAAAAATAAAAATAAATACAAGAAATAATAGTAGGGATGCTGCTGCATTGCTAAGACGAGCACCAGTGGTGACTGTGACACAGTTTGTACACTAACTTGTACCATATTTGTTCTCTTTTATACTTTCATCAATGCTTTTTAAATACTTTTGTTATTAATGTTTATGTACTGTACCTGCAAGTTTTAACTTTTAAAGTTACAGTGTACAATTAAAGCTACTTTTAGGGGTGACTCTAGTGACCTGAACAATGTCTTCACAACCAGTTACAGAGGGTTTACTGTACATTTTAGGCCTGGTGCTCCAAATTATGTTAAAACCCCTATTCAACAACCTCCAGGCCTCAAGAATGCTTCATAAATGGTCCCATACCTGTATAGTAATTGTATATACATTACAGTAAGTCCTCGTACGTCGTCCCGCTTGACGTTGTTTCGATACTACGTCGCTAAACTCTAAGAGACCAAAAATTCGTTTAACGTCCCGGTGATCCGATACTACGTCGCGTTGTGCCGTCACGGACGACTTTCTATGGCGCATCAACCGCTGTTGTCTGGCCGCGCTGCGCTCGGTGAACCTACAACACGCAAGCTGACTGAGATGGTCACAAACATCGCACGTCTCAGTGAACAGCTAGAAGAATACGATACCAGGCCTCATCCTTGGAACCTTATCTGCCCTGTCTTTGATAAGGTTATGGAGGAATATAAGGCCTTGTACATGTCCTGTGTTAATGCTCATCAGCAGGCCCTTATTACTCGGTACCTGTGCAAGGCCCAGCCTGTTAATGCCTTGGCAAGCATCGCCGTTTGAGATGATGATGGCACCACCGATAATGATATTGAATTGTTGGGTGACTTACTGGTGGAAGAGCTGCCTCAAGACTTTGAGGGATTTGATGCTGAGATTAGAGGAGGTGCAGAGGAGGGAGCAGGGAGGAAGCAGTAACCAGCCCTCCCTGCTTTGGAACCCATCAACCAGCCCATCAAACATTTCACCAACTCCAACAAGGTAAGTTATTCTACAGTATGAGTGTACAGGCATATATAAATATTGTCAACAATATGTACAACATAAATATGTATGAATACATTACTTTAATGTAATTTTCTCGGTGGGTTGTAGGTTCTGGTGACACCGTGGAACGATTAGGTTTATTTCCATGTATTTCAGCATCACTTGTTTGGCAATTTTAAATTTTGCGATGCTAAAACAGATACCAATTAGTTGTTAAACTTGAGGTCCTACTGTATTTGCTTTTTAGGGCCCTGGGGCATGAGGTCATGACTTCTGGACTTACTGTCTATACAGAAATATGAGATTTTGACTTTAGTAAAAAATAACATATTCACAGATCAGTGAGTGGTGAAGACATACAGTATTAACATTGTTACTATCAGAAATCTATAACTTACCCTCATTTTGGTCATATTGTAGGTTATAGTTCTGATGACAACGAGAATGAGGAGTCCTCCGAGTGAGATGTCGTTAATAAGGCGCTCTGTGTACCATGTGATGTTCTTCAATGGCTGAAATGAGGAGGTGAATGAAACTTTCACTGATACTAAAAGTTTTGGAGCTCACATTAATAGGAAAAATAATGATATCATTGATATTCTATAAATTCCTCAAAATTTGATAAGGTAAACTCAAAACACTGCACATAAGAATAGTGATTAGGGACAATGACTAAAAATATTACATATAGTATAGTAATCTCCCTGTTAGTTGGAATCTCCAACAGGCGGAATTGTAATTGGCCCCGAGTTTTTCCAGAAAAATTATCTCAAATCTGGGTTAGCGAATGAGTTTTCGGGGATGAAAACCAGCTGCATAATCTGGAAGAAGTCCAAGAAAATCTCTCCAAGCCTCTCCATTCTGGGTCTGGGAAAAAATTTCCAAGAGATTGCATCATACTCCAACATGACCCCACGTACCAGGTGCATGGATAGCCTAGCTGCTTGAATTCTTAGTTCATATTCTGCTGCCACTGTACAAGGTTGTTCCATCTTTAGCTGCTGCTTTTATGCACAATTTGTGTTTTACAATACTGTACATTACTGTACCAGGACACAATCAGCCAACAATACAGTGTTAAGACATAAAAAGTGATTACAGTTACATATACTGTACTGTACATTCAGTAAGTGGGAAAAGAACCATATGTACTTTTTGTATTGATTCAAGATATCTTCAGATCATGAGACCCACTAATCCCCCACCCCACCTCCACTGCAAGTGTTAATTGATTGATTGATTGTGGCAATTACATCCCTGGCAACGCAACAGCTTAGGTCATGTGGTGCCGAATTAAACTAAAAGCTTAGAAGGCTAAAAAGAAATAATGTAAAGTAAAAATACATAAATAATAAATGGTATAGAACTTTCATAAAAACCATTTAAACATTAACAGATAAAACTCAAAACTTGTGTAGTAGGTTGTCTTCCTCCATGAAGGAGAGGACATCCACTCCCATGCTACGCGCTCCCCCCCAACACCAAAGAGAGATGGTAAAACCCATCTCCCCCAAGTGTTAGGACGTAAAAAGTGATTAAATTTTTTTTTTCAGGATTAGCCCACCAGGGCCTGGGGGAAAAAATATAATTAATAATAATAATAATAATAATAATAATAATAATAATAATAATAATAATAATAATAATAACAATAATAAATAAAAATTAATAAAAAAAAAATATAATATTATAATAAGGATGATGATGATAATAATAATAATAATAAAGGACCATAAAAAAAAAATTCAATACTGTAGTGAGAAACGATATATGTATGTTGTGTTGTCAAAGTAAGAGAAACAATTGAGACCCTGCAATTGTGTGTAAATGATGCCATATGACAGCAGGGTCTACCATTAGACAATATATTATGCTTCCAATATCTTCCCTGTTTGGTAGCTGTCTACTACCTATTGCAGTCATGAACTGTATACTGTACTGTACATTCAGCAGAGTGGAGTGCCTGCCTACTGTTGGCTCATGACTACAATATCTGCTGGCGAGTACAGTATATACAGTATAGTGTATTGTACATGTAAAATGGTGTTTGCGTAAATAAATACAGCTCTTGCGTCAGTCCATGTGAGATGTGTAATTTACTCAGGGAAAACTTTTCCCATTACAGAATGGAAAGCTCCATTCTTGGCAATGACACACAGCTCTGGAAATTCTTTTTTAATAACTTAATTAGAAATGATTTTCTACTCTGATATAAACATTTCTTACATTTCTTTCACAACAGAGAATTTATTCAGAATCATTATGGTACCAAATTCATCTAACATACTGTAATTAGAACAGATGCTGTGAATAAAATTTTATACACTTTTTTGATAGCTGTAAATATTTTCGCTCATACCCGCGTCCTAAATTTCATGGGAAAGTGTTTGTCATTGCGAGACGCGACAACGAGATTCGTAGTTTATAGTCGAGATGAGATGCATAGTTTACTTTCAAAAAACTTTCCCTAGCACCCAGAAACATTCTGGTAATGTGTGAGTGTCTCTCCATGAAAGATGCATAGCTTAAGCCCCTGGAAACTTTTCCCAGTACAATATCCAGAAAAATTCCAGGGATGTTAGATTTTCCTGGTTCAAGAGATTTGTTTCATTAATCAGAAATCTCTCATTCCTGGAAGTACTGTGTAGCAACTAATCCGGCCAATGGGGAGATTACTACAGTATGTGTATATAAACCAACTCAATAAAGGAATGGTTAAAATAAATAAAAAAGTAAAAATAAATAAATAAATAAACATAGGGAATTGATACCGAAATCTTGGTTTACAATCAAGCAAAGATTAGGTTATTTCAGTTACAGTCCATGATCCATGGGTGTTGAAAAGCTGGGATATGGACTTCTGATGTGTGTTATTGGTGACAAATAGACATGTCTCTTCATTAAACTATACCAGATAATTAATTTCTGAATAAGTTTATAATTTTTTCTGTAACCATGAGGCCCAAAAGGCTGACAAGTGAAAGCATTCATTTACCCAGGACTCTGGATTAGCTCCCTTCATTTCCAAGCATCCATTACGGATAAAGGAGGAAATGCAAGTTGAACAATATGTATTTGACTATAAACTGGAATTTCTAATAAAAATGAAGAGAGGTAAGTGACTGTCCTGGGGTTAGCATGACTGGAAATTGAAAGGGCTGATTTTGAGTAAAAATTCTGAATTAAGACTTAACAATCATAGGGCACCCTGCTGTGCCACAGTAAGACTCTTTAAGTCTTAAACCATCAGGTTACCCAATGCTTCCAGCTGTTGATTTTTGTTTTCCTCATTGTTGTATACAAGATGGAATAACTGAATCAGGGATTAATTCTGGATTTCTTAGCTGAACAAAAATGTCTGTTTACCATTACTCGTGCTTATCAGGTTTCCAGATCTTATACTTTCAATTCCTGTGGATGATGGACTGTAACTGAAGTGGTTGAAGATGTGTTTTTTATTATTATTTTTTTTTTTATGGGGAATAGCCCACCTGGGCACAGGTCATCGACCCACAACAGGGCCTATGGGGCGAAAAAATAAGAGTAAAAAGTAATTAAAATTAGAAAAGAAAAATATTACTGTATTATACTAATCTACACCACGAAGCTGCTGGAAAACCAGCTTTTTAAAGTGAGACAGATCGTATGAATGTGGAAACACAGAAGGCAGAGCATTCCACAGTTTGGCCGAGTGAGGAAAGAAGGATGTACTATAACGGGTTATTCAAGTGTGACCGACATCCACACAGAAACATTGGGCACTGCAAGCAAGACGTGTGTTACAAGCCCACTGCCTTGCTGGCAGTACACAGGATGCCAAATCCACCGAACAATGCCCGTTAAAGTACCTGTAAAATAGAGAGAGTGAAGCAACATTGCGACGAAGAGAAAGGGAAGAAATATTATCAACTAAAGGAGAAGAGTCAATAAGACTACAAGTAAACACTTACTATATCGTGAATTGTTTTGTTGAAGGAATCATCTTCAGAAAGGATGAGTAAGATGATAAGTGACATATAGATATGATGGGAAGTACTGTCTGGAGCATGGTAGAGAGTGTGGAGGATTGGAAGAATCAAACTCTCCATGTCTGTTCGGGACAGGACGTAGGTGCGGAAATCTTCATTTTTATGAAGGAGTAGGTACAGGAGCAGCGTTGTCTGGTCATCATGAAGATGAGTACACAAGGTCTTGTATAATGTGGCAAACTCTAATTTGAATGTTGCCACTGCCTGAGTTGGTGTGCTTTCTGCTGGATCTGAAAGTGTTAAAGGGATGAATTTCAGTTTGTTTCTCAGCAACAATCTGAATCTAAGGAGTTGATTATTCAAAGGAGATACACAGTGAATGGCCTTGGGTTCAATTTCCTGCCAGCGAGAAGGAATCGGGGTCCCATTTTACACACTCAGTAATATAATGGGATATTTTGAGTGCTTGCAGATGGTGGGACAACTTTTTAGTGGACTAGCCTCTTGCCATATTGGGTGTGGTAACTTAGCAACTGCTGAATGTTAAGAATTAGGAGATTAACACCTGCTTAGTCACCCTGTATCACAAAAGGGAAATTCTTGAAAGGAGAGAGAGAGAGAGAGAGAGAGAGAAAAAAAAAAAAAAAACACCCACACACACAGAGGAGGCCCTAAACAGAGAACATGGTTCAGTTACATAGGGTTTCAACTGCCAATGTATCATTCATTAATTTAAATTATGGGAGATGAAAAATTGATTCAGAAATACCCTTCCTTGCTGAACCTAAAGCCAAGTAGCTCATGTAATACAAGGCACCTCACCAAGGGATACTTGAGTTCACTGGACAGAGCTCCCCAATGTCAGCCAAGATTAATGTTATTCTTTTTTAGATAAACAGTTCACCTGCCCCTACCTAATGTGATGTCAGCCTGAAGTAAGAGGATCATGACACAGAGGTTATCCTTAAAGATCATAGATCTTATTATAGCAGTGACAGTCCAATGCAGTACCCACTTGCCAACAGCCTCATTCTCTATGAATTTGTGGTTGAAGTTGAAGAAACCACTGCCAAGATCAAGCCCAGTTCCACCTAAATACCAACCCAAGAGGGATCTGTCACCAAGAGGGATTTAGGACTGATTCCCTATTTCTGGCTAATCTTACATAACCCAGACAGCTCTCATAATACTATCCAGTAAACTCCCTCTAACCCAGACTCGCTCAATTCAGATCCCATTGCAATAGGACTGGGATCTAAAGCTGCGTACACACTGATATACATTGTTGCACAACATTGTCTCTGGACTGTTTTGCGGCTGTCTCGGAAAAATTGCAACAGTCCAGAAACACTGTCTCAAGACCTTGTACACACCGAGATACTTTATCCAGAAACAGTCGTGCAACCATGTTTCTGGACTGTTGCACGACTGTCTCACAACAGTCCAGAAACATGATATTGGATGTTTCTTGTTTCCCATCCCATATGGGAAACACAATACAAAGTTGCTTAATCTGGTGTATGTAATTGATATGTGCATGCCACAAAAAAGGATTTTCACAGTTTATTTATTTTCTTATGCAATTTCATTTAGTATTATTTTCCCCTTTACAATATGTCAAATATTATAATAAACTTACTTTTACAAATTCCTTCAGGGCATAATTGAGAGCATCACACACTTTCTGAACGACGGCAGATATTGCCTGTTTGACACTTTGAAGGTATACATCAGGCTTGTAAACGAGTTCCCACCTGGCAAGATACCTTATTGTTACTGCCAGATGTATTTTGGCAGGGATTGAGGCTCGATAGTCTCTGTTTTGCTTTGTGATTTTGGGACCAACCATTTCCAGTAATATTTCAAAATCTGAAGCTGTTGTTCTAAAAAAGGTTTTAAATCCAGCTAAATCTTCTAGTTTCAGGTCTGTCATTAGTGTTTCTCCATATGTTGTTCCTTCATCCACCATCGTTCAGGACTTTTCCTTGCTCTCCGCCTTCTTTCTTCTAAGGAAATAACAACACAGGCACCCGCCACAGCGGCCACTTTTGCATCTACCGACACGATGACATCAACTTCTCTAGCCGCCAATTCATCGCTCTAGCCTGGTCTGGACATGCAACAATGTTTCTGGACTGTCTCGCGACTATTGCAAAACAATCGGTTGACAGTCCAGCAACAAGGTTTACCGATTGTTTCTGGACTGTTTCACAACAGTCGCTAGACAGTCCAGAAACAATGTTGCTGTCTGTCCCAAGTGTTTCTGGACTGTCTCGTGACTGTTTCAGGATTGTCTCACAACAGTCCAGAAACATTGTTGCGTGCCTGTTTCTATTCAATGTATCTTGGTGTGAACGAGGCTTTAGACCCCAAATCCGGTTAATATGGGAGAAAGTTTGCATAAGCAGGGGCTACCACCTTGGTGGAGGTGGTTGCTGAGGAGCACTAAAGTGAAGTGTCTAAGAAATATAAATATTGTGGTGTACTGAACAGTACATAAAGTCAATGAAATTAGCAGTGAAAACATAATCTCCTCTCCACCTTCAGTGTTGTACATTGTAAGTGTTGTATAATCAATTCCTGCTTCATTATTAATAAAAATAAGTACAGCACTTTATTATTAACCTTTACTATGTGCTTCTGTTTTTTGTAAACAGACACAATACAGTGCAGTATTAATATATACTTTGTACAATTCTCTCTTCACTCTCCCATAATATTAGGCGGAGGCCTCAAGCAAATATATTTACAGCTAGAGAAAAAGTGTAACTTATATCCATAGCATCTGTTCTAATTGTGTTAGGGTGATGAATTTGGTACCATAATGATCCTAAATAAATTATCTGTAAGGTTGTTACAATAAAAGATTCTAAACAAAATATATTGACACAATGACAGAAAAAATGTAAGAAATGTTTATACTGGAGTCTATAAAATCAGTTCTAATTAAGTTACATACAGCATTTTATACCAATATAATCCTGAATGTTTATATAAATAAATGTACAGAAGGTCCCTGGGTTAAGTACGTCCGACTTACAAACGAGGTTAAACTATAAATTTACAGTATTTTACCCGATGACTTATTTTTTACTTTTATTTACTGTATTTTGTCATTCTATCCCTGCTTTTCTCTTAAATTAAGTGATATTATATATACAGTCAACCCTCACTTTACGCGGTTAATTCAACCCACAGGGTACCGCGGAAAGTGAGAAACGCGTAAAGTGAACGACATAACATATGGGATTAATTGAAATAGAGACCGGGCCGACCCCCAAACTCCACTTTTTGACGACACACAACTATGTTGTAGTAAAAATATTATCTTAACTTTATGATGGTATGCACACACAATAAATAATTAAGAGAAATATCAATAATATTAGGTTTTTTAACACTTACATTAGTAGAAAAGATGGCTGGGCACACGGGGATGGGGGGTTGGTTCCGAGGCAGAGGGCAGATTATTGGCCCTCACCTGTATCACTTGTATCAATTGTATCACTATCCACCACAGAGGCTTGCAGGGCCTCTTTGTCAAACCCTCAAAGTCCATATAAGTCCATATCACTATAATTATCACTATCACTGACTTGGGCCGGCTGTGGTGGGTGGCGGGTGAAGAACTCAGTAATGTTTTGATGACTGGGCGACCTTGTGCGCACCATGCTCGCACCGCTTACACAACATGGCGGATGGCGGGAGAGGGCGGGAGGTTTGGATCCAACAATGGCGCGGCTCGCCAGCCGCTCTCCGAGTAAAGGGGTACACGCACCGCGGAATGTGAGCATTCCTGTTTCGGCAGGGTACCGCGTAAACGCGGAATGTGGGACCGCGTAAAGCGAGGGTTGACTGTGTATATATATATATATATATATATATATATATATATATATATATATATATATATATATATATATATATATATATATATATATATATATATATATATATATATATATATATATATATATATATATATATATATGTATGTATGTATGTATGTATGTATGTATGTATGTATGTATATATATATATATATATATATATATATATATATATATATATATATATATATATATATATATATATATATATATATATATATATATATATATATATATATATATATATATATATATATATATATATATATATATATAAATATATATATATATATATATATATATATATATATATATATACTGGTGGTTATGGAAAAGTTTGCATAAGTAAAAAAAAAATCATTATAAATTTCTCCCAGACAGAGGTCAGTACTACATCACGTGCTGACAGCCATATGAAGAAAATTTCATATCTGCAAATCCATATCACAAAAATAAAGAAAAAGTAAAAGGCTTTGTAGGAATGATTTCTCAATACTGATAATTTTTCTGCATCAATGTCTCTATGAAGAGCATGATACTGTACCTCCTAAAATCATCTGCACACAGAAAATATTACACCAATGATACCGTAAATGATTTTCTCATATATTTTCAGCATACAGTATATTTATATCAAAGAATAAAGCTTCAAATCTTATCAATATTCACTGTTAATTTATAGATATAGTATACACAGTACCATGGAAGTTCTGTGCATGTAGCAGTGCTTGCCGGTAAGGGTTCCTGGTGGTACGGTCAGCGGTATAGTGGTTGGCTAACACCAAAAGCAATAACACACTCTGTGATGCTAGTGGTGACTCAGGTCCTCTTTTAGTAGTGTCCTCTCCATTCCCAACTAGCCCCAGGGTCAGAACATTCCACAGTCCAGCTGAAGAAGAGTTATTGTGATAAAAAATATGAACCTAGACCTACTAAGAGAGATTGTAATGGGAAAGTGCATTTAAAATATATAAAGAAATATTGTACAGTTTAGATAATTCTTCAACTTTTTATTGGTTCCAGTGCTGTACCATATAAAGCAATAAATCCTTTCATGAGTGGGCTTTCTCAGCCCCTAACCCTTTCATATTTTTCTTTTTTTTTTTAAGAAAAAATAAACTGCAGAAGGTTCTAAACTTATTTATCCACCAAAATTGCTGTCAGGGGTGGATCCAGTAGGGGAGGTCCTGGGGGTCGATATGCTCCGAAATTTTACGTGTGACTAGTGACAGCCCTCGTATACCAAAATTTATCGTCCATGGTGTCTTATTGTTTCCCACAAAGTATGCACAGATAGTTGTTTTAGTTACTGTACATATATATTTTTGTACAGTAAAAAGTAATTGGTATTGATCTCAGAATATCTCCTAATATCAAGTGAACATGGCTTCAAAATGCTCATGATATTGGTCAGATTTAGAAGAGAAAAAAATTCTGGGGGGCTTATGGCAACCCCCCCCCCAAACCCCCCATCTGAGTGGGCTCGCTGTGGTGGCCATGTTCCCCCACCCACAAATTCTTGGACCCCCCCTTTTAATATTCTTGGATCCGTCCCTGGCTATTCTAGGAAACAGGAAACATAAATAGTGTAGAGGATCTTTTATCTTTTCCAACCAAGGATCATATTTGGCTTCATATCTATTTGAATTTCAGTGTTACAGTAATTATTTGTGCCTTTTTTTATGTAGCTGTAGACATAATACCACATGTGAAATTTTTCCATTGGTATATGAATGATGGGAAGTGGTGCACAGAGAGTTGAAGGGGATCAACTGGACTGATAGTCTCACTCACATTGTTCTGTATTAACATTGTTGTAATGTAATTACTGTACAGGTGTTGACCATTATACAATTGATCAGTTTTACGATGCTAAAAAATTAACATCATTTACCACTATGCGATGGTCGTTACCCGAATGCTTTTCCTGCATTGTCACTGCTATGAAAAATTAATGTGCAATAACTAGCAATATTCTGAGATACGCTGACGCAATCTTGGAATGGTGTAACACGTGGGAGGCTCTGCCCGTCCCCGGTGACTGCCAGACTAAGCAGGGGAACTGTGTCACATCACCCAGAGGATGGCTTGCGTGTGGAAGAAGCTATTCTTTGTTCATAAAATAATATAGTACAGGGGGTCCCTGGGTTACCAACAAGTTCCATTCCTGAGGACGTTCTTAAGTTGGAACACGTCATGTGATACCGTACTTACAGAACAACGTTTAAAATCCCACTATATCATAGCCTAAGCTTATATACATCTAAAATCACTTAATTTAAGACAAAAGAAGAAATATAATAACAAAATATAGTATATAAATGTAAAAATAAGTCATCAGGTAAATAAAATACTGTACTATAAATTTCAAGTTTAACCTCATTCGTTCGAAAGTCAGGGACCCCTGGTATACTGTACCAGTAAATGTGAGGAATAAATAAAAATAATAATAATAAATAAAAGAAAAGAAAAAATATTGCATTGCCATTTGGCAATTGTGTCACTATGCATGGGACAGCAAGTTGAGATCCCCCACAGTGCTCCCACCTCCCCTACTCTCTGTGTTAGCCCCCATGTAAGAAATATTTATTCCCTTTAGGTTTTTGACCCTATGATAGTTTTTTTTTTGCACATTCTGTATGAACGATTGCTTGTGCAAATAACAGAAAAAAAAAAAAAAATTACGTGTGGCTACCCAAAATTACGAGTTGAAAAATAGCCGCTGAGAGTGTTAACGCTGACTCTTCAGGGTCTCAGGGACAGAACCTATTTTTTCGCATAAGTTTTTACTATTGCTATACAAACGATAACTTTACGATGGCTTTTCGAAGTCCCTAACCCCATCGTATAATGATCAATAAATGTACAGTATGTACTGGAAAATCTAGACATGCAGATGTCTGGTAATTCAATGTATTACTATAATGTATCTATACACATTAACAGTTATTATCTATCATCCCAGCTGCCAGTATAAGTGGCCCAGTAATCTCATAGTTCACTCTGAGACCAAGTTGCCAAATGGTTTATGCTGAAGTTATGGTATGCATGGAGACAAATAAAAGAGAGGAAATTTATTGCTTTTGATTCTAGATTCTCTGCAACATTGAAGGAAAAGGCTTACAAGAGCTAAAATAAATTAAAAATTAAGAGAGACTATGTAACAATGCAACACAGTAACAGGTGAATAATTGAAAGAATAATAATAATGTTACATACAAGCCAATCCAAGTACAACACTGCCACCTCCATCTTTAGCTGGAGGTTTGTCTTGTGCCATGAAGCGTTTTAATAATGTCTTGACAAACAGACAAGCATGGATGGAAGCACGGCCAGTCATCAACATTCTAATGGAAAAAAAAGACAGAATCAGATTAGATAATTTCAGGTTATAAATCATAACTCCCAAACAGTAATATCCAGGTTCCATTGTCTCTCTAATAACTTGAAAATAAATTACTATGTGTCTTCTCTCCTAAACTTCCAAAGAGAAGAAAACACTTAACAGTGTAATTAATTGATTGATTGAAGTAATAACATCTCTAGCGATGCAACACCGTAAGTCAAAGGCCGCCGAATTAGAAGATAAAAACAAATAGTGCAAGACAAACAACACAAATAGTAAATTGCATAGAACTTTCGCTAAAACTAATTCAACATTAATAGATAAAACACAAACCCTGTGCAGAAGGTTGGCTTCCTCTATGAAGAAGAGGACGCCCCTCCTACACTATCTGCTCCCCCCCATGAGCACCAAAGAGAGGTGCTTGACTCAACAAAGACCTCTAAGATTGGGTGGGGCACTGCACCAGGTGTTGAACAGTCAATGGGACCAGGCAGTCATCATAATGGCGAGAGGGTGCTCCTATCCATTAAAACACCAGGAGTCACCCATGTGTGGCCAATGTGGAGGCGGGCCAAAACAGTCTCTCAGCGGTGTGACAGTCCCTCATATCCCAAAGCACCCAAAACAGAGTGGACGCCTCAGAGCTTGTTTCCTCCGACATCATCCCACCCGCACTGCCAACTCGAGTGGATGGCAACTCTTATTATTGGCTTCATATTGGAGAAAGGTAGACCGGAATTATGTCCCAGAAGGCGAGAAGCAGCTGCTTTCATCTCAGCATCAGCACGCTCATTCCTTTTCTCCCCCACATGGGCCAGAACCCAGCAATAACTGATGTTCTGGCCCCGACGTTAAATAAGAAGCAGCCACTCTAAAATAGCTACATCCAAGTAGCTAAAGCCTGGAAAGCACTGTGAGAATTGCTAAAAAAATTTAAATTGTTATGAGTTTGGGTAAATATAATCTGGGGGTAGGTAAAATACCTGAAAGCTCTGTCGTAAAAACAGATGCCAAAGTGGGGAGACCACCCTCCCGACAGAAGTCGGGATACACTACCCCAAGGCCCACACCTGCATCTGACTTATCGCCACACCCATAATCCAGTTTGGGTCTAACTAGCATGTGGTAAAGGTGTAGTAGAGTTCCTCATTCAGCATCCCACGATGTGTACCCAAAAAACTCAATAAATTTGATAGCATGCTGGCAAGACTCTTTGAGGTAATGAATATGTGGCTGCCATGTAATCCAGTTGTTGAAGATAATGCCCAGAAAATGAGTCTCTGTGACCCATCGCACAAGATGACCATAGAGCTGTAGATCGGGATCTGGGTGAACACCTCGGAAGTGGCAGAAATGCATGGTACCAGTCTTCAAGAGAGAAAATCTGAAACCATGCTCTGAGGTCCAACGTGAAACCTTGTCTAGTGCAAATTGCATGCGACGTTCAGCCACTGACATGCAGGAAGCTGCATGCCAAATGAACAAGTCAACTACATACAATGAGAGTGATACACCACCTGGAACCGATGCTGCTACCCCATTTATTGCGATAGCAAATAGGGTCACACTCAAAACACTGCCCTGAGGAACCCATTCTCCTGAATAATGTAGTGCTGACATTTCTGTGGCAACACTTACCCTATAAGTGCGATGACCCAAAAACTGACTTATAATTGATGATAAGTTTCCACACAAGAAGGAGGAGAAGTGGTAAAGGTAAGCCAAGAATAACTTACAGAGAACTTGTTAAAAATAACTTCACAGAGATAAGAGTCTGAGGAGAGAATTAGCAAGATACTATGCAGCATGGAAAGCTGCCATCAGGTAATCATGGTTAACCCACACAAGTGTGGAAAATGGCTATAAAATAGTGATGACTTTGAAATCACAGTAATAGGTAGTATGCAGCTATCAAACAGGGAGGTACTACCACCTGGGAAGATATTGGAATCATAATGTGTTGTCTAATGGTAGACCCTGCTGCCATATGGCACCACAAAAATTGTGACCAAGTCCCAGGTTGCTGATCTGACTTTCTGTCTCATTTACACACAATTGCAGGGTCTCAACTGTTTCTCTTACCTTGACAACACAACATACATACTGTACAGGTATATCATTTTCACTGATCTTTTATTTATTTATTTTATTATTATTATTATTATTATTATTATTATTATTATTATTATTATCATCATTATTATTAAAATTATTTTTATTATATTATATTTTCATTTAATACATATTTATAATTTTTATTATTAACTATTACAATTATTATTATATTTGAATCGGGGGTGCTTGAGGGGAATCTTGCTGTTTATCCCAAATTTGCTAGCCCACACACATTAGTCTTCAATTAGAATATGACGTCCCATGTATATGAACCACTGTCTTGCATGGCAGTGAACAGTGACATCACCCACATAACTCTGATCTATATATACTGCTCATGAATATGATGTATTTCTTTGTGTACGAACCTCTGTCCAGCATGGCAGTGAACAGTGACATCACCCACATAAAAATGACCTATATATACTGTTAATGAATATGATGTATTTCTTTGGGTATGAACCTCTGTCCTGCATGGCAGTGAACAGTGACATCACCCACATGAATCTGACATATATATACTGTTAATGAATATGATGTATTTCTTTGGGTATGAACCTTTGTCCTGCGTGGCAGTGAACAGTGACATCACCCACATGAATCTGACCTATATATATTGTTAATGAATATGATGTATTTCTTTGGGTATGAACCTCTGTCCTGCATGGCAGTGAACAGTGACATCACCCACATGAATCTGACATATATATATACTGTTAATGAATATGATGTATTTCTTTGGGTATGAACCTCTGTCCTGCGTGGCAGTGAGAAGTGATACTACCCTCAGTGTCAAGACCTGACTGAATTACTCAGAATAGGCAAACAGTACTCCAATATACATTATTCATTTCAAATTCACAATATTTCAGCTTAATTATAGGTTAAATAGGCTTTTGTGAGGTGGCAGGGAACCTACGAGTACTGTACTGTAATTATTATATGAGTTCCAAATGAACAATTTTACAAATAAAACTGTGGAATGTAACCCACTCATAACTTTTCTCAGATCAATCTTTTAAATACCTGTATAGCTTCATCTTCTGGAGTTAAGAAATAGATAAAGATATGAAGCAAATGAAACAATGACCCTTCTTTAAATATGCACAAAATGACCACGATAGACTTGTTTTAAAATACATAATCACAAAAATTCAGCAGTTACACTTACTTCAAAATGGTTAAGTAGCACAACTCTCCTGATGCAAACACCAATGCTGAAGTTAGAACAAGGAGTGTGGTGGTGGCTTCATGATGGAGTGCATAAGTGAGGTCAACCAGAGGCACATCCACTATGACCTCAACTAGACTCGTCACCAGATCTTCCACCAAATTTGAGTTATCTTCTGGTACTCCACCTGATTTGGGTTGACAAGAGCATATGTAATTAAAGAAAATTATCTTTCCTGTTTGTTTTAAATGTCAGAGGTAGATCAAATGATGTGGGACGAGTAGATAGAGGAAGAGGAATTTATTGGATCCACAATAATATTCAAACACATTGACAAACTGAGAATTATGTACAGTATAGTATGTAGAATATTTTTAATTTTTTTGCTAGATGCACAAAATAATAGTTTGCTTGTCACAAATGAGAATGTCCAGGGCTACAGCATCCAAGGAGTAAACATTTTAAAGGCGTACAATGGTCCCTCGGTTAACGAGCACAATTCGTTCTAGAAGGTTGCTCGTTAACCGAAAAACTCGTTAACCGAAACCATTGTTTCAATGGGTTTTTGGGTAATTGGTTCCAGCTCACCGAAAATTGCCTAAATTCAACAAAAAAGGTAGTAAAGTACACTTACTTTGAGGTGTGTATGTAGAAGGCTCCTGGATGATGATGATGATGGGAATTAGAATGGGGGTGGAGGAGAAGGGAGAAGCGAAGGCATTGGGGTGGAAGAGAAGTCACCCCATGGCGCCATTTCACCCATAAAATTTTACTTCTCTTGGTGTAATTCAAGATTATTTTCTTTAAATCAACACTGCACTACATTATATATTGTCAATATGTAAAATAAATTTCAAAATGACCAATAATTTGACTGGAACACAGAAAAAAAGCATTTATGTTGAAGAGAGTCTGAAGCAAGATGTTACCTTCGCTGAAAAGACACAGAGACTGACGCCTGTATGGTGTGTTGACAGGCTGTTTGGCACGCTAAAAACTAGTTTCCCTGTACTTAAATTATGTTAAATAATTGTTACAATAATTAAAAATGTTAATATAAGACTTTTACAATTATTGAATAGTACAAACTTCTTGATATTTACTAAAATAGTAAGGAATTTAAACCCTAGAACCGATTACTGTCTTGGCGGACTAATACGACAGCTAGTGTGCAGACGAAAACATGTTGAGGGGCGCTCGTAAAGAATTCGTTAATCGAGGGAATGCTCGTTAACCGAAGTTAAGAATCCTATGGAAGGTAATTCGTTAACCTAAATTTCGTTAACCGAGGTGCTCGTTAACCGAGGGATCACCGTAATTATATATAATAACACCATAGTCTAAGATTCGCCCCCTATTTTAGCAGGGGGTTATTTAGGAAACTGTTACCAGTAACATATAAAACTACACAGGAAAAGTAAACCACTGGAGCACCTTAGCTTTTGTCTTTATTCAAGACATCTTCAAAGGCAACTGAATTTACAGGGACTGTGAGATGCTTATACAGTGACCCCTCGTTTAACGAACACCTCGGTTAACGTAATTTCGATTAACGAACTGCCTTCCATAAGGATCTTCAATTCGGTTTACGAAGTTCTCAACATGTTTTCGATTGCACTGACCGGGCAACCAGCTTTAGTATCAGTCCGCCAATACATTAATCGGTTCTAGGGCTTAAATTCCTTACTATTTTAGTAAATATCAAGAAGTTTATACTATTCAATCATTTTAAAAGTTTAATATTCAATTTTTCAGTCATTTTAACAATTATTGAACATAATTGAAGGTAAAGTGACTAGTTTAATGTGCGGCATCCAGCCTCTTAACACAGCAAACAGGAGTTAGTCTCTCTCTGTTTTCACTGGAGGTAACATCTTGAGGATTTCAACCAGAATTGTGGTCATTTAATATATTTACATATTGACAGTCTGATAATTTAAAAATACATGGGTGAAATCCAGGGGCTTCTGCATACACACCAAAATAGTGAACACTGCATTTTGTTGAGGTAGAAATTTTCATTGAGCTAAAACAATACCAAACAGTGAAACTGTAGTTCGATGCTGCTTTGATTAACGAATGACCTTCTGGAACGGATTGAGTTCATTAACGGAGGGGTCACTGTATAACATCAGGTCAGGTTCAGTAGCATGGGATCCACTAATTCACACACCACCACCACTACAAATGAAGGAAGAGCTTATAATAAAAATGGGTGACATTATAACAGGTCAGGTCAAAAACATGAGACCCACTAATCATCTAACCTACATCCACCTCAAATGCTTTCAAGCATTTTTAACCTTAGGCCAGTTGTTGTTCATTAATCAACACAGTACCACAACATCACACTGTGAGTTGGAGAGAGGGGTGAGGGAGGGAGGGAGTGAGAGGCAGGGGGGGACAGGGAAGGAGGGGTGCAGGAGGGGGAGGCAGGGGGCAGGGAGGAAGGAGGAGGAAGGGGGTGCAGAGTGGGGGACAGGGAAGGGGAGAGGCACTATAAAAATATTAATTACATGACACCTCAAATAATAAGGCAATTTTTTCATCCAGACCTCTCCACTGAGAGGAGGCTGGGTAGGCTTACACACATCCTGTACACGATCTCTCTCTCTCTCTCATGTCAATCCACAATGTTGTGGCAAAATCATTTTAATTATGAGATCCTGTACTCAAATGTACTAAGTTAATTACTAAAAAGCCATGGAAGTAGGGTAGATGATTAGTGGGTCTCATGTTTTTGACCTGACCTGTTATTATGTCACCCAATTTTTTAAGCTCTTCCTTCATTTGTAGTGGAGGTGGTGTGTGAATTAGTGGATCCCATGTTACTGACCTGACCTGGTGTTATGTAAGGTCACCCATTGTATATAAGCCTCCAGTCCCTGTAAACTCAGTTGCTTCTGAAGATGTCTTGAATAAAGACATAAGCTAAGATGCTCCAGTGTAGTTAGTTGACCGAGAGGTAGCAGTGAACAACACACAGTGGCGGCAGGGCATAGACTGAGTGGATGTAAACAAATCTGACGCACCAAGCAACGTGTGGTGCATTTGGTGCAGAATTTAACAAAATCATGCTCGATTTAGTGAAACAGTTCAGTAAATCGAGGAAAAATAACGGAAATTCAATTTAGTGGAAATTTCGATTTAACGAAAAGGGGTGGCTCGAATTAGTTAGTTAAATCGAGAAAATACTGTATGTGCCATATACTATTTCAATAACCTTGTTCTAAACCCACCTTCTTCTGTGGAGGGTGGGGATGTCTGCACAACTTCAATCACTTCCTCTTCAGAAAGATGTTGAATATGTAACTTGCATACACAACGAACAATAAAGAGTGCATTGTATGCTTGCCATGTAAACACACTACTGTAAAGAGTGGGAAATATTACAAAACTGGTACTGCATTACTAGGACATTAAGCCCATGGAAAACCTTCAAATTCTATGCACAGTATATACACCTTCTACAATACTATGATAGTCCTATATCAGTGCAGCCAGGAGAATTTTCATTAAACCAAGCACTTACTTGTCACACTGTGCTGACGCCTTGAGCTCTGTTGCTCTGGCAAGGAATACACGGATTAGGGCTGCCACATTGCCACTGGTTGCATGATTTTGCAGAAGTTCCATGTATAGGGGTGTCACAGATTCCTCCAAAAGTCGATAGTCTGAACTGCAATTTAATATCACCAATAAATTTGTTAACATGGCACAACAAAAGCAACAAAGACACGGAGACAGGCCAAGAAAGTTCGTGGCAGGAAAAAAAAAAAGATAGATTGATTCTGAATTTCCAGTTTATAACTGAGCTTTAATAGAATTCATGAATATTCTTACTAAAGTCTTTGGGCTTAGAAATCAAGCAAACCCTAATCTAATGATGGTTGGGGCAATAATCCAAAGATTAGTCTTTCCTCTATAACCAATGCAACCCTTTAGAACAAGGCAAGAAAAACTGCCATTCAAAACTCCTCTCTCTCTTTCTCTCGCACGCACAAACACACGCAAAGATGGATCTTCTCAGTACCACACGGAACCAAGAAAAATATAAAGTAATCCCCCCAAAACAATTTCTGTACAAGTATAAAGTTCTGAACTACTGTACTGTACTTTCCATGTGGAAATCACTGAGAGTAACCGTTCAGTACGACCAGATAATTCGCGGTCCTCAATTATTCGCAGATGACACCCTGGATGTACAGAAGAATGTCTGAGGATAGTTTTAAAGTTGCCGGCATTTTTGCTGCTGGGGCAGGGAGCCATTCGTTCTAGAGACAGTAATTTCCTTTACCTTTATTGTATATGTGTGTGTGTGTGTGTGTGTGTAGACACACACACACACACAAAACACATACTGTACAAATAAATAATAATGGGAAAATCTCCTCACAAATAATCAGAAACAAATTTATTCAAAATGTGAGTCTACCCTCAAGTCTACTCCGTGCTTTATTAATAACAAAGCACGGAGTAAACTTGAGAGCAGACTATCACATTTTTAATAAATTTGTTTTTGAGGATTGTGTGTTATTTGTATGCTGTTGTGTGTAATACACATATAGTTTGTATGGTGCTACTGTAGCAGTTCTACTAGAGAGTGTTCTATGACGGTTTACCTATAAAATTGAGAATATAAGCAGAAAACTCCTAGGCATTATTTAAATTTTTTTTTTATTTTTTTTTTCTATTTATTGTTTTTTATTACAAGTATTAATGATATTCTTTATTTAGGGGTTTTGTTGCATATTTCTTTTTGATTTACAATTTTATTATATTTTTCAGTGTTTAAGTTGTTTGTATTTGGGGGCCTGGAGCGGTTAATCCTGCTGAACGAATGCTACTCTTGAACAAGGTTCTAGAACCAATTAATTCGTTACGCGCCCCTGCATAGCGGTCAATAGAACCCAGGGTCCGTGTTAAGTGAAAATCAGATAAGTGAACAACAGAACATATGGGATTAATTCAATGGAAACCCATTGACCCCCCAAACTCCACTTTTGAAGGCACATACACCTATGTTGTAGTAAAATAACATCTTAATTTTATGATGGTACATGCACACAATTAATACTTAAGAAATAGAAATACTGATGCATCCAAGTTAATGTCATTCAAATATGGACTCAACTCCCTCCTCTCACACTACACGTCTTCCCTCTCAGAGAGAAATTTTTGGGGGAAAAACCACTAAATTTTAATAAATAATACCTCAAACTAAAGTTAGGATAAACACAAATTATTGCTGGATTGGCAGACCAGGAATATTTTGAATATAAATGTCATAACTTTTGAAGAATAACATAGATTTACCTAGAAGTATCTAAAATTTGTATGTTAATGCAAAATATATGATGTTTATATTCAAAATAATCCTGAAATATAAAATTCAGCAATGTAAATTATATTCTGACGGGTAATTTGTATGAATTTATGAGCTAAACAAATATCTTCAGTTAATAAAAAAAAAAAATAATCTTCGTACTATCTGTCAATCAAGTACCCTCCCCCCTCTTTAGCAACTTGGCGGTCAGTCCAACCCCCCCCCCACAATCCTCCTTCAGAGTTTTAACATTTATTAAATAATACCTCAGATTAAAGTTAGGATAATATAATTGACATTGCTGGATTCATATAAGACCAGGAATATTTTGAATATAAATGTCTCTTATATTTGCACAAAAAAGATAACATAGTTAATTTGAGAAAAAATTTTATCTAAATTTAATCTAATAAATATATGATGTTTATATTTAAAATAATCATCAAAGTCTCAGAAATTCAACGTATAAATTATATTCAGACCCCGAGTAATTTGTATATGAATTTTATGAGGCTAAAACAAATATCTTCAGGTGCAACAAAAAAAAAAAAAAAAAATTCTTCCTGCGGGGGTAACAGATGGTGGTCGGTCCCCTCCCTCCCCCCACCAACCGTCCCCGGGATATGTGGGATAACCACTAAATTTTTAATAAATAATACCCACAAACTAAAGAAGTTGGGGATAATATAATTGACATTGCTGGATTTAACCCCAGCAAGACCAGAACAAGAACAAATGTCATATATTTTTGCACAAAAATGTATTACTCTGAAAAAGAATTTTATCTAAAATTTGACATGTCACAATGCAAAATATATGATGTTTATATTAAAATCCTGAAATATACCAGCAATGTAAATTATATTCTGTGGTAATTTAACAATTTTTTATATGTTTAAAACACATTGGAAATTGTGGGTGGGTAATCTAAAACTAATATGAGGCAGACACTCACATATGGCGTCGTGTTAAGTGAAGTTCAGCTGGCGAGGCGCCGCGTATGATAAAACGCGTTAAGTGAAACCGCGTTAGGCAGGGTAATATAGCCATATATATATATATATATATATATTACAATACTGACCTGTACAGGTAAAAAATGTAGTATGTGCAAACTCAAAAGGGAATATACATTTCTTTGTACACAAGTAAATGTAACCCCCAGCAAATGCTTATTTTACGGATTTGGCTGCGCATTTGAGAACTAATAACTAACGAATTTGAAGGGCTTGCTGTATATCACACTGTACAGATCACTCCATAACTATTCATGGTGTTTCTGGAACTATTCTGTGTAAACAACAAGGGATCCTACAGTATACATATGAGGCACTTGGAGAACAGTGACAAACACAAAATCAATTTGGAGATCATCACACTAAAAATGAAACCTATTTCCCCAGTATCTCAGTAACACTAAATAATTTCACCAACTTTAAGGGTATGTAAATAAATCCTGAATCATCTGGGTATAATTATTTTTGGTGTATTCAACATTGTTCCTCCAGGTGTATTGTGTGTACAGTAATATCCAGATCAGCGATCAGGATACATGCCTACAAAATGTAACGCTATCCAAAACAGCGCTCTACAGGTCAAAACTCCTTTGCATATATGGAGATGCGTTCCTAACCTTCAAATTATTCTAGCATTCTTGTGAGATTCCGTAGCCACAATTATTTATACAATTTAGTCTACGACATTATATAAGATAAAACTTTAAGCTTAAAACACCAA